CACAAAAGAAGGTCCTAGAGGGAGTTAGGGTCCACAATCTCTTACCCTTTTAGAGTGATCGAACACCAACAGGTCTAAGATCTGAATCAGACTCATGACATTTTCAACCTCTACATCCCTTAATCCTCTTCTAAACCCTAAATCCCAATCAAACTCAAAATTAGACAGAAGGAACTAGAAAACTGGACACAACCTTTCCCTTATACCGGGAAAGTGAAAACAAGGGAATTGGTCTTTTATAGGTATCTCACCCATCCAAATGTGCTCCCCAAACTTTACCTGATTCTCAGAGCAGAGGTCATACCTGATGTGCTGCAAAAAGGAAGAATGACATGTATAGATTTCCAAGAAGAGGCACTAGTAGACCCTGCCAAAGTCCCAGTGTTCCAACCATCATCTACCTAACCATGAATACTAAGAATTAGACTCGCCCACAATTTATCCCTCTCACCTCCCAACCTCCACAGCCATTTCCCCTATGAGGCTTCATTTTTCCTCCAAATGTTACCTCAACCTAACCCTCCATCAGCCTACTCCTAGAGGCTAGTTCCCAATTCACCCTGTGATCCTTCCTCTCCTCCCCTAGTTCCCACAAGAAGTCTCTCATCAACTTCTCCAAATTCCTACTTATCTTCACTAGGATCCTAAAAATTGATAAGTAAGACATATGCAAACTAGCTAGTGTAGACTTAATCAAAGTAATTCTACCACCCATAGATAAATAATTCTTTTTCCAATAGGTCAATTTCTAAGTAAACCTATCAATTACGGGGCTCCAAAATCTCTCTTTCCTTAGGTTATCCCTTAAGTGCATCCCCAAATAGTTCAGAGGTCATTGAGACACCGCAAAATCCAAAGCTTCAGCCCTCTCTGATATAGCTCTCTCTCTTCCATATTGGCCCCCACTACACCTCTCTTATCGAAGTTCACCTTCATATTTGACATTTGTTCAAACACTTGAATCACCAACTTCAAGTTTTTGGCCCATCTCACATCCTCCCCCTCATAGAACAGAATTGTATCATCAACAAATTGTAAGTGGGTGATAGGAATGTTGTCTTTTCCAACTCTCCACCCCCTCACAAGACTTCTCAAATCTGTTCTCTCAATTAGCCTCCCCAACACTTTAGAGATCAAGGTGAAAAGAAATGAAGAGAGGGGGTCCCCTTGTCTAATTCCCCTAATAGCCCAAAGGTGATCCACTACCTTTCCATTTACCAGGATAGAGTAATGACAAGTCTCTATACAACCCAGGATCCATTTACACCATTTCTCCCCAAATCCAAAGCAATCCAACACTTGCATCAAAAAAGACCAATCAACCATATCGTAAGCCTTCTCTAAATCCAACATGTACACAATCCCTTTCCTCCTTGTTCTTCGCAGATCCTCCACACACTCGTTGCCAATTAGAATTTGATCCACAATTTGTCAATTCCCAACAAATGCCCCTTGATTCTGTGAGATTAACTCCAGAAGCACCTCTAATTCTTCTAGACAGAACCTTTGCAATGATTTTATACAAGCTATTAACCAAATTGATGGATCTAAAGTCTCTTGGATGACTTGCTCCCACTTTCTTTGGGACCAAAGCAATAAAAGTTGAGTTCAGCCCTAGATTTATCACTCCCCTCGGGGAAAATTCAATAAACACTTTAAGGATATCCCACATTAGTATCTCCCAACAATCTTGGTGAAAATCCATGGTAAATCCATCCGGTCTGGGTGCTTTAGCTTGATCCATTGAAAAAACTGCTTCCCTTATTTCCTCCAACTCAAAATTTCTTTCAAGCCACATCTTTTCCTCAGACAACTTTGGCCAATCTAACCCTTCTACTCAGATTCTCTAATTTAAAGGCGTTGTAAATAAAGACTTAAAGTGCTCTACAAAGGCCCTAGCAATCTCATCCTACCAAGATATTGACACCCCATCTACCTTCAGCTTAGAAATCAAACTTTTCCTTCTTCTACCATTGGCCATTGCATGAAAAAATTTGGTGTTTCTATCACCTTTTACTCATTTATGTCTAGACTTTTGCCTCCAGCAAACTTCCTCTTTGAATAGTAGAATGTCTTCTAGCTGCTTCCTGAGCTTCCATCTTTCTTGTTTGTTTCACTTCAAAATTTCAGATTTAGATAACTGAAAAAACTAAATTATCCAAATTTCATCAAATAACATGCAATATGTAATATGTAATATATAACATATAACATATAACAAATAATATATGTAAAACAAGAGTAAACAGAGGAAGAAGAAGAATTTGTTATATGTATTCATCAATCTCGTATGTATATATACAAGTTACAAATTCTATGTTAGGAAAGAAGACTAATTAAATTCCTACCAATCAGTCTACAATCAAGGTAACTCATATCTCCTACAAATCAGTCCTATAATCAAGGTAAATCATATCTCCCTAGTATTTACTTCCTATTCTGTAACACTCCCCCTCAAGCTGGAGCATAGATATTAATCATGCCTAGCTTGTTACAAAGATAATCAACCCGGACCCATTAAGAGCCTTCATGAAGATATCTCCTAGTTGTTCTCCCGTTTTCACATAACCTGTGGAAATCAAACCTTGCTGAATCTTTTCACGAACGAAATAGCAATTCTTGACAGTGTGGCCGGCTAGAGATAAGAGGAAGAGAAGAGAAGAGAAGAAGAAGAGAAGAGAAGAGAGGAGAGAAGATAGGAGAGAAGAGAGAAGGTTTTGCAATGTAACAGTACTGGCAGCGCCAGTCTTTATTTTACTATATATAGGGCGACAKAAATAACAAGRRAAAAGACCCTTGTGCCCCTGAGTACAATAACAGACATAACAGAAATAAAAAACGAAATAAAAAAAACACTTTAATTAGCCAAACAGGCCCTAACATCTGCAACTAAGTTATTTTAACATTATTCTAACACTCCCCCTCAAGTTGGAGCATAGATGTCAATCATGCCCAACTTGTCACACAAATCTTTGTGCCACACATGATGAAGACCTTTGGT